CTGGCCCTTTATGGCTCTGGAACATTGCTTTGACACGTGACTTCAATCTCGGTCACATAAATCTGACATGTCTCCGAAAAATAACTCTGAAGCAAAGTTATTTTTTTTTTTACTATTTTGAATGGAAAAGGTGGTGGTGGGGAAAAAAAGGGGGGGGGGTGGCGCTCAAGAAAAATGTCATTAATTTTGATTTTTTCGAAATCAATTCGGTTGAGATTTTAATCAGGGAGCAAAATATCTTCTAATCCCATTTTAGCACATCAAAAAAAAACAACAACAAACAAACAAACAAACAAACAAAAAAAAAACACGCAAATGTGTGGCGTAAGCTCAAGGTGACCTTTGGTCGTTTGGCGACATCGTAGTACTGCCTGCACTATTTATTGATCAAGATCGATATCAAAACAACAAATTACTTTTTTCTTTATATGAAGACATGTTCACGATTTATTGTCTTTGAAAACAAATAAACCAGATCGATACTTTGATTCTTTGGAGATTCCGCAGCAGCTATGTGACCTCTGAACTTTGTATTTCGCTATTGGCAACCACCGTCACGTTTTGGGACTCGATATATATATATATATATATAAACAAAAACAACATAAATCTTATAAAAAAACATAAATTTATTTCCAACCGTAACTGTAGCCCTCGGGACCACTGGGGGTTTGTTTGTGATACCACTCCACGCCAACGGTCCACCACACAAGCCTTGTTGAGAAAACACTGGGATAATGTGATTGCGTGTAAGAACGATCGTACGCGATATGAAAACGATCTTAAGTCAGACCGAACAAAACCACCTTTCTTCTCTGTTCGTAAAGTACACAGAATTTTCTTTTTTTTTTCATGTGTATTTTAAAGGCGTCCAGCCAGTTCAACAAACGAAGTCTCCCCTCCTCCCTTCCACCCCCTCCCCCAACCAAAAGACGACCTTTAAACGAAAGAAGCGCTCAGACGACATGGGACAAATGTCCTGTCAGCGGAGAATAATGTCCCAAGACCAAAGTTCAAGAGGCGTTTATCTTATTTATTATTCATGCCTTTAAACACACGATTTATCCAAACTGATACACATTTTATACACATTTATACAAATTGATACACACTTATACAAAATGATACACATCTATACAAGATGATACAAATTTTATACACATTTATACACATTGATACACAGTTAAACAAATTGATACACATTTTATTCACATTTATACAAATTAATACACATTTTATTCACATTTATACAAATTAATACACAATTATAAAAATTGATATACACATTTAATTTACATTTATACAAACTGATGCACATTCTGCACACATTTATAACATAAACGATTGTTGAATGAATTTCAAGGGCGCAAAGTAGTCCTATGCACACACCACACACCGGGCACACATACATACGCGTACACTACACCACACACAATTGCTCATAAGCAACTCCTCGCATACATACATACACACGAAACCATTGCGCATGCTTACCAAACCACATACATAACACACATTTCGTATTGAGCCATATAAAAAACAACAACAACAGAACAGCTTATTAGATGAATATTCTCACAATGAGAAATGTGCGTCTAGAAGATCTATAATAACATAACAGAACCTGCGTTTTGTAGACTTAGCTTAATAAGTATGTAGGTGAGACTTCACATGATTTAAGACTATAATATAGCTACATATAATACAGTGTTTACATACATTGCTATATAGGAGCATCAGATTAAAAGAAACACAATTCATTTGTGTATGCATACAGAGTAAGGCCAAGCTTCTGTAGGGACTGTGACGTCACTGACTCCCGAGTTAACTGTCTTTGTGTACAAACAGCAGGTGGTGGGACACAAGAAAGACAACTTCCATCGATCGGTTTCAATAAAAGTGCAATCTGTGTGCATGCAAAGTCAGTTATGTGTATAAGACATTCAAGTATGCGTGTATGTCAGCCAGCTATGCGTGTATGTCAGTGAGTTACGTGTGTATGTCAGTAAGCTATGCGTGTATGTCAGTTAGCTATGCGTGTGTCAGTTAGTTATGTCTATATGTCAGTTAGTTATGTTTGTATGTCAGTTCTGTGTGTATGACAGTCAAGAAAGTTTGTATTCTTTCTATAACCGACGGTTTCTACGCCAGTTCAGTTTGACAGTACCACGTGTCACGACCTTCTGTTTGACAGACACTACAGCGTGTATGACAGACACGACAGTGTAAATGGCAGCCAAGTGTTACATAAATGGTTCATTTCATTTCCATAGAAATGAACTGTGATCGCTCATATTACATACAAAAAGAAACATTATCTCCTAACGTTTTTTAAAAACAAAAAAACAAAAAAAAAAAATTAAAAAAACATGATTCCTTTGTGCAACGGTTCTTACACTTATTACGAAAGGATAACAACGAAACAAACAATATTGATATCTTTGCCTGTTGAACGGTCTAGTATGATAGGACCGATTGTTATCTGTCCATGGCGTGTCCTGATTGCGTTGTAAAGCACTCGGGTCGGCCAGCCACACGCTGCCAGGCAGCGCTTCAACTCAACTCTTTTATTTGAAGCTTTTTTTTAAAAAACACAAGTTGATAGCTTTGAAACGATAGACGCAAACTCGATTAGTCATCGCAGCGATCCTCAAACTATGGAGTTGCTGTGTCTCCTTTTCTAACCCATGTAATGCTGAATAAACCACAAGCGGCGGTTCTCAGACTTATGAAATTGTTACGTCTGATTTTGTAACAAATATATAAAGCTGTAAAAACCCAAAGTTCTCAAACCATGCAGTTGCTGTGTCTCCTTTTCTAGCATATATAATGATGTGTAAACCCCCAAAGCAGTGGTTCTCAAACTATGAAGTTGTTGTGTATCCTTTTCTAACAAATATAATGCTGTATAAACCCCAAAAGTGGTCGCCCACGTCGCACCTCCATGCTCGCCACTGGGCATATGTTTGTTGTGACAGCGTATGATCATTAATTCTTAAGGCTTATCTATAATACTTGAATAACTCGTTGCCTTGAAATGTATTGATTTTTGCAGAGTTGTGAATGACAATAATGTATCCGGTGGGCGCTACAGATAAACCCTATTTTGCTTTTTTTATAGAGATAAGTACTTAACCCTTGAATAGATCAATGTATGAGTGTGTCGTATGGAGTGTTTAAATGTTCACGAGCAATGTGTCACGCCCCATATAGTAAAGAAGTCACTTCGTTTAAAGACTTTTCAAATCGTTTCCTGTTTAACTTATATGTTAAACTTTTGAATTTTGAATTTTTATTTTTGTATAGTAAAATATATCAGCGCACAACAGTAATATCAAAGATGGGGGTCAAGGTTCAGAGGTCTCTGGGTAACGCTTTGATGCAGTCGACCACTTTGACTGAATGCCGTCCGGGACGAACTCACGAAACTACGCCCCTCCCACTGGCGTAGGAAGGGGGAGGGGGTTGCGGTGGAATCGTTCCGCCTAGGTTGGTGGCACTATTTTTTTATATGGAGGGGCAGCACTTTCGGCCCACCGCGGAGGGATTTTTTTTTTCGTGGAAGGTGGGCGTCAAAAATCGTGTACCCACCCAGGTCAGCACTGACCTTCGCTACGCCGCTACCCCCCCCCTCCCCTCCCTCACCCTTACACACAGCTATATTATCATATTCGAAAGGGGGGGGGGGTTGCGGTGGAATCGTTCCGCCTAGGGTGGTGGCACTATTTTTTTATATGGGGGGGCAGCACTTTCGGCCCACCGCGGGGGGATTTTTTTTTTCGTGGAAGGTGGGCGTCAAAAATCGTGTACCCACCCAGGTCAGCACTGACCTTCGCTACGCCGCTACCCCCCCCCCCTCCCCTCCCTCACCCTTACACACAGCTATATTATCATATTCGAACTGAACATGATTGAAAGATTGTTTGAACCTCATCTTGGGGGGGTCACCTCCTTCACCCCAACCCCACCACTGATTTATGTTTATCGGCAACCTGTTTTAAACAACCTAGACATGACGTGATCGGCAACCCGCGGCCATTTTGATGTCGGTGGCATAATTGCCTAATTTACTACAAGTATCCACCAACCTCCTATTTTTATAAAAATAAATCTTTAGTTTTACGTTTACAAAAAAAATATTTTAAAAAAAACAACAAAAAAAACAAACAAAAAAAACAAACAAAAAACACACAAAACAACACAATTACAAAAATTAAAAAAAAAAACACAAAAACCCCAACAATCAAAACAAAATCTCATCTAATGCTATTATTTCTCAGCCATTGATTGATTGATTGGACGTCACAGGAGCGTCATTGACAACGTCAATCATTGGACGTCACAGGAGTGCGTCATTGACAACGTCAATCATTGGACGTCACAGGAGTGCATCATTGACAACGTCAATCATTGGACGTCACAGGAGTGCGTCATTGACAACGTCAATCATTGGACGTCACAGGAGTGCGTCATTGACAACGTCAATCATTGGACGTCACAGGAGTGCGTCATTGACAACGTCAATCATTGGACATCACAGGAGTGCGTCATTGACAACGTCAATCATTGGACGTCACAGGAGTGCGTCATTGACAACGTCAAACATATAAACGTTTTAGGAATCAGTTTTTCTGATCAACAAAAATTCAAACCAATAACTTGAGACTCGTGGCATTGATTCGGAACCTTGACGGTATCCTAAATGCGTCATCGTCATTCTTGTGATGACTCCGCGTCCTGCATATCTTCCCGTCACCGCGACCAGATCCTCACCACGACCAGATCCTCACACCGACCACATCCTCAAAACGACCACATCCTCACACCGACCAGATCCTCACACAGACCACATCCTCACACCGACCACATCCTCACACCGACCAGATCCTCACACCGACCACATCCTCACACCGACCAGATCCTCACACCGACCACATCCCCACCCCTTGATGACAAAGCTTCTCTCCGGTCCGTTCGACCGGGCCCACTTCCCCCATAGGTCAGTCCAGCTCACATCTGGAATGCGTCTTTAAGTGGGTGCTCAGGTTCGATGACCTGCGGTGAAAGGTCACAGCGACAAATGGACATGGGGAGCAATACTTTACTTTACATGAAATGTATGTTAACATGGTGAACTGCTTTACAAATACTACAAGAATGCTATCACTATAGCTTTACAACTGTTATAAGAATGATATCACTATACATGTTATAAGAATGATATCACTATACATGTTATAAGAATGCTATCACTAGATACGTTTTTTGGTAGGGGGGTGGGGAAGAGAGACAAACCTGTTGAAGGCCTTGCTGCATACATGACAAACAAAAGGTTTGTATGTCGTGTGGGTCAGTCTGTGCCGTGTGAGATTCCCTGGCTGTCTGAAGGCCCGCCCACATACGTCACAGCAGAAAGGTTTGTCGCCTGTGTGGATTCTCTGGAAGATTTCAACGTTCATCGACACTGTGTGTGTGTCTCAATGTGTGTCTCAATGTGTCTCAGTGTGAGTCTCAGTGTGTCTCAGTATGACTCAATGTATCTCAGTGTGTGTCTCAATGTGTCTCAGTGTGTGTCTCATTGTGTGTCTCAGTGTGTCTCAGTATGACTCAATGTGTTTCTCAGTGTGTCTCAATGTGTCTCAGTGTCATCAGTAGGATCCAGTAAGTGTCCAATTGATATTCAACGTGTCACTAATATGTCACCAAAGTGTCGGTCAAGTGTCTTTTCAAATAAAAATAAAATACCAAAGTGATAAAAAGCCAGTATTTTTATTTCCTCTCCTAAGTTCTTCTAGATCTGTCAATTTTATGTGTGTTAACATATCCTGATTGTGTCTTTGGTGTGTCTTAATGTGTTTCATGTTAATTTTTTTTTTCTAATTACAAAGACACTTTAAATTTTCAAATCTGTTTGTTAGACGAAATAAGATATCAGTGACTGACTACGTCTTACTGGTGATACTAATTATAAGAAAGATATAATAAGATATCAGTGACTGACTACGTCTTACTGGTGATACTAATTATAAGAAAGATATAATAAGATATCAGTGACTGACTACGTCTTACTGGTGATACTAATTATAAGAAAGATATAATAAGATATCAGTGACTGACTACGTCTTACTGGTGATACTAATTATAAGAAAGATATAATAAGATATCAGTGACTGACTACGTCTTACTGGTGATACTAATTATAAGAAAGATATAATAAGATATCAGTGACTGACTACGTCTTACTGGTGATACTAATTATAAGAACGTAGCCTATTTACTATCAATGGCTTGATATGCCTTAAACATACAATATAGACTTACACGATATTTCTGGACACATACACTATAATCCTAAATGATATGTCTTGGCTACTACACTAGAAACTTACACGATATGCCTTGGCATCTACTATATAAACTATAATATATATTATAGAGTAATAGATGAAACCGATAGTAAGCAGTGACGCAGACAATCAGTTAGGCAAGTGCCTTACTCCATAAAATGCAGAGGTAAATACTCGATGGTTCGCAAAAAAACTGACTTCCTCGATGGAGAACCAACAGTACAGAATTATAACTGATGGTTCACCAAAGGTTCTGACCTACCTGATCGTTCACCAATGGTTCTGACTTACCCGATGGATCACCAATAGTTCTGACTTATACACGATGGTTCACCAATAGTTCTGACTTATACACGATGGTTCACCAATAGTTCTGACTTACCTGATGGTTCACCAATAGTTCTGACTTATACCCGATGGTTCACCAATAGTTCTGACTTATACCCGATGGTTCACCAATAGTTCTGACTCATACCCGAAGGTTCACCAATAGTTTTGAATTACCAGATGGTTGACCTATAGTACTGACTTATCCGATGGTTCCTCAAATATACTGACTTACCCGTTGGTCCAACCCCTTCTACTGACTTACCCGTTGGTCGACCCCTTATACTGACTTACCCGTTGGTCCACCTCTTATACCGACTTACCCGTTGGTCCACCCCTTATACTGACTTACCCGTTGGTCCAACCCCTTATACTGACTTACCCGTTGGTCCACCTCTTATACTGACTTACCCGTTGGTCCACCTCTTATACTGACTTACCCGTTGGTCCACCCCTTGTACTGACTTACCCGTTGGTCCACCCCTTATCCTGACTTACCCGTTGGTCCACCCTTTATACTGACTTACCCGTTGGTCCAACCCCTTATACTGACTTACCCGTTGGTCCACCCCTTATGCCGACTTACCCATTGGTCCACCCCTTACACTGACTTACCCGATGGGTCACTAACGTATTGCTGCGCGAAAAAGCCTTCTCACAGACGTCACACTTGTATTTCCTGACAGGTTCCGTCTTGTCTGGCGTCATCCTGTTCCCTGCCGTAGAAGATTGCGCCGTGTGGGCTGTACCACACCGTCCGATGGTCTTCTTGCGCCAGTCCGTGGTACTTGACAGCAGAGCAAGAAAATAAAATCACGATCAGGAACCATTAGACAATAAACTGACATTCATTTTTTTAGTTACACTCAAAAAGAAAACGGAGCTAAGGGTCATGTGTTCCATTTAAATTTTGTTTGTCCTTGTTTCTCGAAGTTGGCGTTTCACTGAAACTCAGTAACTTTGAAAAGTGACCAGCAGCATCTATGGATTGAAAAGTATAGATGTGTATGTAAAATATGACTTCATTAAGGGTTGGGAAAGTCATTTATGTCGTATATTTGTATATATTTACCTAGACCATTGCTGTTTCATTTGTCTGGCCAGTTCATTATTTTCATTGGAGTGGTGAGACGAAGTCGGGCAGTTAGAAAAGTCAAAATTTAACCCTGAAAACTGAAAACAACAAATTTTAAATATTAATTTTTTTTAAAAAATATATATTTAAGACAAAAGACTTTCGATCAAATAAGAGTTCGAACACGTTAAGAAAATAATTTAACATTTCTTCAAACACTCTGCGCACAGAACGGAAATGAGAGCAAAAATGAAAATGTTTGAAAAATGATTTTCTTTGAGTATTTATTTCTTGTCTGTTTGATTTTGTGAGCCGTTATTTTAGCAGCATTCGCCATGCTGTGAAACTAGTATTCTGTGACGCATTCACGTGTTGCGCAATCACACGTGGATGTACCGAGATGAGTGTGTGTGTTTGTTTTTTTTTGGGGGGGGGGGGGGGGGGTTTGGGGGGAAGGTAAAAAAAAAAGGGATTTGAGACGAAGTTGAAAAAACAACAAAAACCTTTGATTATTTTTTCAAAACAAATATTTAGGGGACTTAGGAGATATAACAGGTTCTATTGACTGTATTTCTATTTTTCACTTGGAAAACAAGCTCTCTTTTATACTGTACTGAAAAACATGTTAAAGAACAAACAAAATACATTTTAAAAAACGATTTGGTCGTTTTAAAATTAAAACAGACGAGCTGTATGTTTGTACATAAATAAATACAAAATAATCCAGAAACGAATGTTCCCCTGGTTCCCAGCATTTTGGGTTGAACAATGGGTTCAAGACAATGCCAAAAACTACCTGAGATGGCGCCTGATCGGGGTCGTAGCTAATCTCAAGCTGCTCCTGTCGTCTCTGAGCTAGGTGCGCGTCATGACACTGATGGAGCCCTACGCCATAGCGATTGTTATAAAATGCCGGATCTTTCAACTGTGACAGTCCCTGGGGAATGCGCGATGGATGTCTATCCGTGCAGAATTGGCTTCTGTTGGTTCTGAATTGGCAACATTGATGAGATGGTGACTGGACCACATGAGCTTGTTGCCTGGAAAAAATATACTGGTACCTTGGAGGCCATGCCTTCACAGTCGAAGAACTCATTTGAGGAGACGTTGTAAATGCCAGGTGGTTGATATGCGGGTGCATGGTGAATGGAAAGGGGTAAAGATTTTTCCGAGGCCTGTTCAATTCCGACGTGTGCATCCTGTGGACTACTTTGGGGTCATTTTGGTTTTGAGGATATGCGACAATTGTTTCCTCCTCCTCTCGCAGAAGATGACGTCGTTGAGAAGATCTTGCTGATACATATTGTAAATCCTTAATCTCACCAACAGCAATGTTGAGGCCCAAACTGTTGCCCCTGAAATCTGTGTTTCGCCCCGTGGAGGATATTTTTTCGGCGGCACGCTCTGATTGGTCGTTTTGGATTTCGAGAGCGCCACCTGACGAGCTGTCTGCTTCAACCGGAAGGTTGTCTATCGTCGGGTCAACTCTTTTTTCCTTCGTTTCGCACAATTTCTCCCGGGAAGATTTCTCCAGACTCTCTGCTAAGTTCTGAAGATACAGTTTGAAAGGCACGTTGACGTCCACTTCCGTAAACGAGATTGGCCGTTGGTACATTGTATTTGTTCTCAGTAATGGAAGCTGACGTTGCTCTTGGAGTTGTGGCGTCGTCACGAACTCTCGATACTTAGATGAATAGCACTGGGCACTTCTGTTATCACCGTCGAATCATCTGACGTGTTTCCACTGCTTTCCAAAAGTTATAAGTAGTAAACATGAATTTCCTTCATTTTCCTGTCATCAACAACCTAATCCCGTGTAACTTTAGACTGTGTTCTTCGGAAGGAGGCTACGGTAAACATTTTTTTCAGGTCCTTTGTTTCTCTATTTCTATTTCAATATACTTATTACAACTTTTACAATGTGACTTCCACTGGTTTATATTACATCGAATCCCAGATTCTATACAAGTTTGGTCGTCCATCTTTGATTTAATTCATTTTGTTTCTGAACAAATATATTTATAAATTCTGATTATACTTTTTTTAAATAGACTAATATGTGTTTTTTAATACAAAAATTATATATATTTAATAAAGTTTAAAATATTATCTGTGTCCTATACAACCTTGGGAGAACGTCACTTCCGGAAATTGTTTTGAACAATTTAAAATTTAAAAAAAAATGTTGCAAAAGCAAGAATGTTTTTTTCTTTTTTTTTCCTTATTTTAATCTTTATGATTATAATTTGAAAGCAAGTCGTGTAAAAAAAAAAAAAGTTTTTTTGTACGATATTTTATTGATGAGTTTAATTTTAAAAGCCGTTAAGTTGAAAAAAAAAGTCAGTCTGACAACCTAACGCACGTGAACACGTTTAAAGTGCAGGAGGTAAAAATAACTGCTATCCACCAGCGGAACGAGGCGAGTGCGAAATATAAGATTGTGTCTGAAAGCTTCGCTCACCTTTATGTGATCAGGTGACCCTTGGTCAGTCAACGTGTGACGGAGTCCCCTTGATCACGTGTCGGCATGCCACCGGACTCGCCATGCGGGTTGATTGGCAGGTGGTAGGCGTGTCCAAATTAAGCAAATTAGCTTGCTGCCCCTCCTCCATGTTCCACAGTTTTAGTTCCACTGAATTACAATAATACTTTGGTTAGGGTAAGATAATGTGTCGCAGTCAGTGTTATATATTGTTTAATGTCGATTTATACTTCTACTACACAGTTTCATATGCTCACAAGAAGCAAAAAAAAAATTAATTTAAGGTTAGGAGTTAAATGTATTTAAGAGCTGTAACATGTTCTTAGAATCGCTCGACCACATCGTATTTGGTGTCAATTGAAAGTTTTGTGTATAAGAATTTAGATATAGCTTCCTGACACTTACGAAAGTTACCGCACACTTCAATCGGCGTTGAATCATGGTCAAAACGTTTTTTTTTTTGTTTGTTTTTTTTGTTTTTTTTTTGGAGGGGGGGCTAATTATAGTGTCAGCTCATATTAAACGCATCAATCAACCTTGCACTTTTAATAAAGCACTCATTTTGATTGGTTACATGTGTGAACAATTTACGTGTGATCGGTTATCCTGTTATGAAATTAGTTTAGATGGAGGATTGTGTGCCCTGTAAATATGCAATTTTTCAATTTGGTGTCACCCTCCTGAGATGGTGTCCCAGTGCGGTCCGCACCCCCTAGCTACGCCACTAGTGGATAGAAAGATTTTTTTTTAAATTATCAACAAACTGATTGGGGGGGGGTGCACGAGCTCTCTCTGACCTGACCAGCGGACCCTAATCGATGTGGTCATCTGATGCGTTATTGATGAATGCGACCCCCAGAGTTGGCCCGGTGCGTCAAACAGAGCTTAATTTAAAAGTAGAACAATTAGCTCCCTGTTAGCGAGTCGGACAGGACAACATATGAGCGGTCATAAGGGTGGCGACTCTACCAGTTCCCGATCGAATTCCTCGTTTACCTCCCTTGTTTGGCTTACCGGATCTTTCAAGCCGCATGGCCCACAATTGGTGGTATTCATCCGCCCCATCTGTCAGTGACATCATAATGAAGTTTAGGTCGTATACAAAGAAAGCTCGCTGGAGCTTGAGGGTAAATTCAGATAATATATACACATTATAGCCAACATCAGACCATTTGTTAGTTTCAATTGCTGAGCCTTGGTTTGTAAAGGATGCCTAGAATTACATACACTCCATTTCTCATAGATTCATCAGGTTTAACGCAATCATTTGTGTAAAAAAATTTTTTTTTATGTTTTTTAAAAACTTTTTGTTGTTATAGTTATAGCCTGAAAGCACTCTCTACTGCATTCTTATATATATATATATATATATATATATATATATATATATATATATATATATATCTCTNNNAGAATTTAGATACATATAGCTTCCTGTCACTTACGAAAGTTACCGCACACTTCAATCGGCGTTGAATCATGGTCAAAACGTTTTTTTATATATATATTAAAAAGTTAAAGAATTTGAGGCGGAGTTTGTAGAGAATAAGAATTATCCCTCCAACTTTTGCAGCGTTAGCTAAATCTGGTTTACAAAGAAATAAAATTAAATTACAGTAAATAATGTGTCCATGTTAGAGTCATATGGGTTAAGTCCCCTGCATTTTTTATGTGACGGCAATCTTTGTGGGTCAAAATGAGTGACGAGGGCATGTAAATAAATGATCGAGTGCTCTCCCTTCTGACCGAGCGAGTGACTCGGTTATCAGAACTTAATTTCCTTGGCTTAGAGGTACACGATGGTTAGACATGCCAGTGTATACCAACTGGAGTCGGGGCTCTCCAGGGAGTGAACTCTCATCAAATAACTGAACAGACGGAACAAACGTTGTCATTTTGGCTGATACACTGTTATGGATGCTATACTGTTATGGATGCTATACTGTTATGGATGCTATACTGTTATGGATGCTATACTGTTATGGATGTTATACTGTTATGGATGCTATACTGTTATGGATGCTATACTGTTATGGATGCTATACTGTTATGGATGCTATACTGTTATGGATGCTATACTGTTATGGATGCTATACTGTTATGGATGCTATACTGTTATGGATGCTATACTGTTGTGGATGCTATGCTTAA